ATAATTAAATTTATTTATTTTTAATTTTAAATAAAAAATAATTTTTTAATAAATATATTATGTAATGTAATAAAGTAGAATTGAATCAGTTACTATTCTTGGTTGCTTTATTTTCCACTGGAATGCGTTGGAAAATAACATTGCAAGTCAATCAAAACACCTTTCACCGTTAACGTTTTATCGTTAACGTCTAACCTTTGAAAAATGAGCAATGCTAGGAACCCTCGCCATTTGCACTCTCCAACCAACACTTTCATTTTCATTGGCCGACGTCATGTTGGTTCGCAGAGGTAATCATTTCATGGCTAAAGTAAGTTCACGTGGCCCAATAAAAAGGCATGTGTTGGCAGGAGAGTGCAGGAGGCGAGTGCCCCTAGCACTGCTCTTGAAAAAATGGAAGGCTAATTTTTCTTAGAGTCCAATGAAAAAAAATTTAGCTGGGATTTTAAATATTTTCATTAAGGGAATGACGCCCAAAATGCAATTTCTAAAAATGTTAACCATTATTTTCCATGAGTTTGCAATGCAAAGTAGTTTATTTTTATTTTTTTGGAAATTTTAGTTTAAGCACTTTAACTTACTGAAAATTTTCTAAACTCTGCCTAAATTATTTTCACCACATTTTAGTGGAAAATAACTTATGTCTATATATATTAACAGCTTCTATTCCTTTACCATTTCTCTTCTCTTCTTCTTTCTTCTCCCCCCTTTTTTATCGTGTTCCTTTGCCCGAATTCTATCCCACATTTTCTTCATCTCCTCCACTTAATTTCATTCCATTAATTCTTCCTCTTTCATCGTAAATTTCATATTCGTCTTATACTTTTCACTTCTCATTCTTCCTTCCTTTTTTTGGATATATTTTTTTCTTCTTGTCGACTTCTTTTCTTCACTTGCATTTTTATGTCCTTTCTTCTCTTGCATTTTTCTTCAATTGAAAATTATACTAATTACCTTGTGTTTTTCCTTTTTTTTTAGGTGTATTTTATAAAATGTAATGATGGTGATGTTCAATTTAATATATGATTATCTTATTTTTCAATATGTTTCATTTTTTCTTTGTTTTACTTCTCATTTAAATCACTAACTGAAGAATTTTTAATTTTTTATATTTTCAAGATATTTTATAAATTATGAAGATATATATTTAATTTGGAAAATGATAGATGCACATCATAAACCAACACATACCATCACACCCCCTCCAGTTCACCCTATAAAATATTGTGGGCTTCTAGAATACTCTTACTCTTGACTTCTCCGTCACAACATGTTGATACCTATTTTTCATAAAATCTCCTTCCAATGATGCGATCCCTTAGCTGATATCTCTCCATAATCAATCAAAAGTGGTGAATCATTGCAGTAAGGTCTGTTCCTTTAGCTAAAATTGCTTTTTTTCCTGAACTTCTATCACTTGAAACTCTAATATGAAGTTTTTATTGTCTCCATTTTTTTATAGTGAGTTAAAAGTTTTGCTTTTGGTGATGTAATGTAAGTGTAATGATGTTAATTTTCAAAAGCAAAATGTTGTGTAGCTGTGGGATTTTCAATTTGTTTTTTTAAGGATATGACAGAAATGTTGCACACAAGAAGAGGGATGTCGGTAACAACCCTTTTTTTTTTTTTTTTGTAATCTTCCCATTTTCTACCTGCACAATAATTTTCTTGCCTTTGTGGTTTTTGGAATTTCAAGGGTTTTTTTTTTCTAGGAATCTATTGTTAAAAATGTTGACTCCACCCACTGGTGAAGGAACTAGCGCAGGAAGACCCAAATGATGAGGAATCGGATACACTGGTAGCGCGGATGCTGTATGACGAGAAAGAAGGCATGTGGGCAAATTTATTGTTGTGATAGTTTGTTTGGATCAATATCAGTGACCCAACAAGCTCTTTTGCTCATGTGGGTGAAGAAATACCTAAAGTTTCTTGAGTGAAGTGGGTTTTTGTGTTGAGTTAAATTTGGGTTCGCGAGGAACTCAAATCTATCCGAAACCCAAATCATCTAAGTTTGTGCAAACACAGAAAATGGGTAGAAAAAGGTATTGGAAAAATGCTGGGTTAATGGGGAATAAGATGAACAGGGAAGGCACCTATTTCCAATCTATTTGGTAATAAGAATAGACGATGTCTACATGAATAACTACAAGGTTAAGTATTTCAGGCCTTATTCTAAACCTGATTAATGAAACATATTATATAAGGTGTGTCGTCGGGTATTGAACCAGTAGGGGTATCTATCAACATTCATTTAATTTAGTTCAGTATTTTACAAATGTTAATATTTTTGATTAATATTAAATAATATTGTGCATTAATTGATGTTCTTAGTTTTACATTTTTTGGGTATTGGTTATGTATTTTTGAATTTTTAATGATTGTGGTAATGAATATATTAAACTTATTAGTTTGTGAATAATTATTGGTATATATATTCTGTTTTAATGTTGTGTATTTATTTTTTAAAATTGTTTTTCAATATTTTAGTATGTTATGCGTGTATATTTATATATCTTGGATAGTAATTAGTGCACCATTTAATTCAATATATTTTATAATATATTTATTAAAAAATTATTATTTTTAAATTTAAATTAAAAGTAAAAAAACTAAAAGTTGTAGATTTTCATAACTTAATCAATGAATATTGTGAGATATATTAAACAAGAAAATGTATCAATTATTTTTTATATATATCATTGTAACATTAGAATAAATAGAAATTAAATTTTATTTTTTTAATATAATGGCACTTATTTTCCATGGTATGACAATGGAAAATATCATTTAATGGTCAAACAAGCTGTCTGTTGTGTAATATTTTCCACTACAGTGCTGTGGGAAAAGGGTTAACAGTCACATGTGCAAGCTTTATGATTGTTAACTTCTATATTTTGCACCATACTCCAATGAAAAATATGGTTTACCTTTTTTCATTGTAAGGACTACAGTGGAAAATAGTATTTTATAAAAAAGTTTTTATCTATTAACATTTTTCAGTATATTGCATCCATTAACATTTTTCAGTATATTGCAATGGTAAATAATTATTTTTCATAGCATTTTGTGTATTTTCTACCGCATATGCCGCAGAAAATAGTTTGTAGTTGACTGGAATCATTCTAAACGTTGGCATAGAATTGGAATTGGGATTTCTTAGACTTAACGCTATTTCTCTA